GACCGAGACCACCCTGTTCACCGGCCGCCGCCCGCACCCCTGACCCAACACCGACAAACCCCTGAAGGCCACAGAAGAGGATCTGCAACAATTGGGGGAAATCGACATCGACGGTTCAAGGGAGCAGGGCGAGGCCGATTCACGGGGAGGCGATGACAACGAACTCCAGCGACCTTGAGACCTGGCAGAGAGAGGACCGAAATCGAAGGATCGAGCTTCCTAGGTTAGCACCGACACACGCAGGGAGAGAGACGCAGGGAGAGAGCTTTTTTTCCGTTAAAAGGGTATATGCATATTATTGAAGTTTTATATAACATGTATAATGATTCTTATAAATTCTAACAGATGTTTTGTTTTATTCAGATTTTGACATAAATATGCTTGCAACAGATCAAGTAGTCAACAAAACAAGCAGAACAACCAATGTGTCTAACATATGCCAAGGTTATATTTTTATGTAATGAATGGTTTACTTAGTTGATATTTTGTATAAATATATAGAAACATACCTTAATGCACATTTATTTGGCATGAGTTGTTTGTTCCGTCTCTTTGTGCATGTATGTTTATTCATTCTCCTGATTTTCCAGTACATGCATTTTGTACAACCAAGCACACATAATTATTAACTGATTTTTGAAATTCACGTCATAAAACTCAAGTTCATATCTTTTCGTCAAGATAACAATCACAGTACCTTGCACAACTTAGTATTACAGTCAACCAACGAGCATGAATGTATTATGTTTCTGCTTCTATTCAGATCTTTCCTGCAATACAACATTTAAAACATGTTACACATATATAACTGAAATATTATAATGTTATAATAAGCACAAACAAAACTGTTACACCTTTGTTTGTATAGCCATTGTTCTTTATATGTGTTTCAACTTTGAAGTCTTCCTCCCTACTTCCGCATTGGGGGTTTGGCCGTACTCCCTTTCTTCTGAATGTTATATGTTGTTTATCCAACATTCTCGGTGTCATAACAGATATTCACATGCAAACAAAAATTAACATATTATATATATTAGATTAAAAGGACATTGAGACCATTAGGCAAAATTTTACTAAATTTGAGTAATATATATATTAACAAAAAATATTGAGGAGTTCATGATAATTATTACATGTTTGGCATAATGCACTCAGTAGAATCTTCCTTTGGTAGGATGTCACCAAGGTCAATCGTGCATACAGAAAACAATAATAAAAAGAAGAAGTTAATTAGTAGTTTAGACAATTGCGCAATCTAAAATTATATTATGTCAAAGATTTTTTTTTTCCAACGATATAACGACCTCGCATAAAAATGACCCAAAAAGGGCATGTACAAGGGAAAATACCCCAATGCCTTATAATACTGAGAGGGTAGTATCCTTGCACCCTAGCCAAACTACCACCAGACATCAAATAAAACATACACACTGCTACCCCAGAAAGACAACAAAAACATCAAAAACATAAAAAACACTCTAGACCTGTTAAGACCTCCACAGAATCACATCAAAAGGAAAAGCAAAAGAAACAGACAAGATAAACCACTGACACAGGACCTAATCTATCTCATCTGCCCCTCTACTATCCAGATGTGTTGTTGAGTTTAAAGTCTTGCCAGTCCATCATAGCAGCTTTGATAATCCACCATTCAGGTTGCCATTTGCCTTCAAATACCCAAAGATTTCTAGCTCTCCACAACCACCATAAGATGTAAGTTGAGAGCTGGATTCTGTCTTCAGCACAATCATCTGCAGCCATGGAACGCACCCACCACCACCACTGCTTGAAGGACATTTGCTCATCTTGCACTTTGTTCCAACTAACTGGAGATAGCTTCCAAACTGTTCTGGCCTTAGGACACATGAAAAGACTGTTCTTGTGATTCCTCCTCCTCCCCACAAATTCTGCAGATGGTTTCAATTTCTAACCCTCTATTCATATTATGTCAAAGATAATATACCAGAAATGTTATTTTGTAATACAACCCTATATATGATGATAAATCGTCCAATTGTTCAGATTTTTACATAATTGATGAAGTTACATATTTCAATGTAATCTTATGTTTTTTTTTTGTCCCCTGTGAAAATAAATGTGGTAAAATAAACACGAATAAACTCCAGAATTGACAAATAAATAAACAAACTTCCGCTTTTTTGATTTTTTTTTATATTCGTACTTCAACACTCAGTTCATGAAGAAAACTTAAAAAAAAAATTGCACCTTCTATAGATCTCGATTGTCTCTTACTCTGGCTCATGTGGATGATACACAAAATAGAAATTTCATAACAAAAAGTGAAAATCGATGATAACAAACAAAGCCTTCAGAGCGTCTGAAAAAAATAAAGGCCCGATCTATACAAATTAGAAACTCCTGTTCAAAATTGATACCATTGAATCCCCACTAGGAATCCTCTTGCAATATCAATCAGGAAAGTTGTCTCGCATAATTGATAATACGTGCTTCTTTGATAATTTGGGATGAAGCTCCAATGATGCACAAGCATTGCTTCGAAGCTGTCCAAACATCATTGCAGGATATTATGGGAGAAATTGATCCTTCTAACAAGGACAAACAATTTGGAGGCAAATCGGTTGTGTTTGGTGGAGATTCCCGACAAATTCTTCCTGTCATACCGAAGGGTAGCCGTCAGGACATAGTGAATGCTGCGATTAATGCTTCTAATATCTGGAGGAGTTGTACTGTGCTCCGGCTTACGAAAAACACGCGTCTTCAAAGCCTCACGAATTCAGAAGAACGTGGAGAGGTTGCTTAGTTCGCAGAATGGATAGCGAGCCTTGGAGATGGAATCATAGGAGGATCTAATATTGGTTGTGCAATGATAGACATACCTGAGGATATAATGCTTGAGCCCTCTGATGATCCGATTGCCCAAATTGTAGAGAGCACGTACCCAATGTTTAAGCAGGCAACCGATGATCCTAGTTATTTAAAGGACAGGGCAATATTAGCTCTTACGCTAGATGTTGTTGAGTCTATCAATGAGTACATGACATCGTTGAATTTATCTGAAGGTTAGATGTACTTAAAGTCTGATTGTACTTGCAAGTCAGACTCTAATAACGATTTTTTGTCTGATATCCACACGCCTGAATTCTTAAATAGTATCAAATGTTCTGGAATTCCAAATCATCAGTTGCATTTGAAGATTGAAACTCCTGTCATGTTGTTGCGTAACATGGATCATTCTATGGGTCTATGCAATGAGACGCAGTTGTTGTCACAAAACTCTCCACTCATGTTATCGAGTGTAAGATACTAACTGGGGATCACGCAGGCGAGAAGGTGTTGCTTTCTAGAATGACTATTACTCCTTCCGATGTCCGAATTCTTTTCAAGTTCTAGAGGCGTCAGTTGCCTATTATGGTATCGTACTTAAGAAGCCTGTGTTCAGCTATGGACAGTTATACGTTGCTGTATCCCGTGTCACCAACCGAAGTGGTTTGAAAATTTTAGTTTGTGGTGACGATGACTCGCCGCCATATCAAACAAAAAACGTTGTGTACAAAGAAGTTTTCAATAATTTATGAATTTTGTAGTTTGCGCCCAACGTGTTTACTTTTGTCACAAATATAACATGTTTATTAAATTTAATATTTAATATTAAAAAATGATTAGAAATATACCTCCCGTGCATCGGGTAATTACTAGTCCTAAATATAGAGGAAAAAAAAAAAAGGGAAAAAGCAGACGAACGAATAGAAAAAGTGAGGAAATCTCAAACAGTGCAGCTATGGCCGCTCGCTTTGCCTCCTCCAAATTGTTCTGCTCCTCATTTCTCTCCTCTTCTAAAGGTCTGTCATCTCTTTCTCTCCACATTGGCATTTCGCTTCAGTGTATTTATGTGACGCCGGAATTTTTATTTCCCAGTTGCCGCATTTTCTCCGGCATACTTCTCTACAAACGTTGTTGGAGAATCTCCAGTTCTTGTAATTTCACTCGTTCCATTTCTCTCTTCTAACTGTTCACATCCTTTTTGTGCATTCCATAAGGCTAAGCATTGATTTGAAAAGTCCTTATCAGTTTCTTGGTTATTTGATGAGGTGAAGGTGAGGGACTTCATTCATGCGGCTTTGTATGACCCTGAACGCGGGTACTTTTCCCAAAGATCGGGCTCCGTTGGAGTGCTTGATAAAAGTATCAAGTTCAATCAGCTGGAAGGTTGTTCCATTTTTTCCTTAATTGTAATTGGCGTCTATGTTTTTCATTAGAAGTGCGGATACAGTTGTGAATGTGAGGTTTTGGATTTATATCGAAATATTTGAGGTTCTAGTTTCTGTTTGAAAATCGACAATGATATCGGATAACTCTTACTGGATGTCAGTTTCTTTTCATTTCACGGCCTAGTTTAAATTTTAAAAGCATTGCTTACTCTGGGATTTTCGGTTTTTGTTCATTCAGGTTGAGGATGTTCAGTATTGCTTATTCTTCTTTGATTTTTGCAGAGCTGGAAAATGCCAAGTTCTTGAGACATATATTATGCATAGCGAAAACATAGTGTTAAAACTAGGAATAGGATGTGAAATTTGTTAGGAAGAGCCTTATTTATTAGCTGTTTTTCATGTGTTTATATGCCCCTTCTAATTGCCTCTCGTATAACTTAGATATACAGGTAGCACACACTGCTTTTAAATCTTTTGATTGCTCGAAGATCTCACTGCTCAAAGTGCAAACAAAATTTTCAGGCCGGAAAGCTTATATGAAGTACCTAAATGCAGTATACAAGCAGAGTGATATATCATGGTTTACTCCAGTTGAGCTCTTTAAGGTGCAGTCCCATTCTCGGAAATGGAGAGTTTTGATAATTGCTATTTGATTTATTCCTTGTGTTAGTAGAATGTATGGAGAAGCACCTGTGTGAAAGTACCTCTGTAGTTCTGTAGTCGAACCTTCTAGTTTGGATAATTTTCACATTTCATACTTCTCCTATGAAAACGAAGGTTTGACCTGGATTTCATTAATAAAAATTTCATTTTCCGACTGTTACTGTAGTGGTTCAGTACTTGTTTTGAAGTACCAATTTCTGAAGTCGACTTTTATTTGGTAATTAGGATTCACTTCTCAAAAAGCCTACAATTTCGACTTCTTGAAAATGGGCATTTAAAAAGATTAACCGATTGAGAATTGCATTCCAAATAAATCACCATACATTAATTGTTTTTTTAGTAGACTCTTACACCCAGAAGTCCATTTGGAAAGTGCTCCCCAACAGCAACTTAGTTGGTGAGGAGAAATAAATAATTTGAGTTATGTTTTAGCAAATATCCAGTTGTATTTATGTGGTAGTCTGATCCGCTTAATGTAACCTCTACAACTTTCAACTGTCTAATTCACCTCTTTCTGTTTGCTTTTTCTTTCTTAGTTTACTGCTATTAAGATAATGTCTTCTGATAAAGGGACTCATCATTATTCCATGTTTCTTACCTTGGAATTCCATTTGTGTTGCTCATGACATATTCTTGTTTGCATTAGCAAATAGATCATTTGCTACAAGTTTTAGTTTGGTTGTCAGAGCTATGGATAGGGCTAACAACTTTAGATATTCCATTATTTCAATGCTTTATCTAATATACATCTATTAAATTGAATTAGCTCATTTGTTCTGAAATTTTAAAACCCAACCATGTAGTGGACTTTTAAACTGTTGTCTTTTTTAGGTATAATAAATATAGTTATAAAGTTCTTGAAAGTGAAGCCGACTCTACATGCTGGAGTTCGTTAATAATGTACATATTTTGTTCTGAAAATCATTTCTTGCACAAGTGAGGCCTGGAGATCTTTAAATTTGTAAATAAATATGAAAATGTGTATAAATGCATGGATATATTTTTATATTATTTGTTTTTATGAATATCATGGGTTTAATTTTAACTAGGTGAAATTCTCATGTTCTTGTGATCTTCATATTTCTTTGCTTCGACTACATGCCTTGTCCCCTACACTAAGTTTTATGCGAGTGTATAATAACAACAGTACCGATATTAATAACTATTATTGTCAACCTTTTACCCTATTTATATTTCTTTCTCTTTTTTTATTCTGGTAGATCTGTTAATTTTTCCTCATTGTTTGCAGCCTTGGTATGCCCATGGGATAGCTGAAGCAATTATGCGAACTGCTAACCTCTCTGTTCCCCTGAAAGTAAGTTTTTGAGTTTATTGGTTGACCCTACCGCATGTGAATGTTGTACTGTAAGGAATGTGCTAAAGTCTTTCATACTTTCAGTTTCACTACCTCCACATAAAGTTCTTAACACTGTTATCAGTTGATCTGGTTTAGATGTGGATCCATCTATAGAACATGCAAACCTGTTATTTGTTATATTGAATGTAGTAAAGAGCTCATGAAACGTGCAGAATGCATTATTTGAGGGTATGGTGGTGGCAGGATCGCATATCGTGGGAACATGTAGAAATCAAATATTATTCATTTAGCATTAAGAGTTGAGCTATATTGAATCTTCAGGTCTCTCGGCTGTGATGTCGGTATAATCTCTAGACTTTTTGCTTTAGAATCTGAAATTTGCTTACTTGTGTTGGCTGGCCAAACATTTCAGTATCTTGAGTTAATCTGTACCTTGGTACTGACACTGACAATAATGAAAATCATGTGCGTTCTTCCGTAAAAGCATGGACCCCTTACATAGGTTGCAGCATTATTGCCGACAATGGTCTAAACATTTTAAAACTAGCTTGATTAATCCCATCAGTGACTTGGTCCCATTTTTATTATTTCAATTCCTTAGACATCTAAAAAATGAGCAACATTTGTATCAGAAATTGACTTCTGAGGAGAACAACTCAAACATACACTAAACCTTCAATTCTCCAATTCTCAGTTAAAACTTCTTCCCTTTGAAGCGAATAAATGAAAAAGGATTGGTTGGAGTATTTTCTCAAGATTGGCTCCTCTATGGCCAGGGATTGAAGATTTAGTCATAATTGATACAGTTTCTTACTTGAAGTTGTATACTTCTTCAGAGTTTTTTTAATTATTTTTCCTCATTGCAATCCATCTTGATAAGCCATATCCTGCTGAGTAATGGTTTATTTCAGTGTGTTCCATTCGTTCACTTCAATATCAGAAAACCTGGGAGCAGAGTGCATTTCTCAGAATTAAAAATGTTTGATTTTATTATTGTCCATAAACTTAGGGCACTGCTAGTTGGTAAATGCGAACATAGAAACTTGTACTATACCGAGACAATATGTTTCCTGGCCAAGTGCAGTAGGGACCTTTTAATCTTTATCAATAGTATTATATATTTAGCACACTTTGGAAATATAGATATTAAGCTTATGAATTATGTGTTCTTTCTCTCTTTCTTCCTTTGAAATTGAGTTAAAACTTATCTTTCTCAGATATATGAAATTGGGGGTGGATCAGGAACTTGTGCAAAGGGTGTAATGGATTACATAAAGTTGAATGCTCCTACCAGAGTTTATGAAAGTATGACTTACACGTATGTATTTCCTGGAGTTCCTCTCTTTTTCATTTTTTTTTTTTTTTTTT